ATATTTTAAAAACTAGTTGAGAAAACTTACTTTTACCCTAGTTTTACTTGTGAAAGTGTGAACTTGGCACAGCGTGTTTCAAAACCATATTATAATTATACTCCACGTATAAATCAATCTTTGGTTTTCAATAATAGTAAATCGATGTATGTAAATATTACGAGAAATATAACGTTCAGAAAAGGCTTAACATGCTGACTGAAAATGACGGGATGATAGTTGCAGCAACTAGTTAGGGTTAAATTTGACATGCTGACTGAGAATGACGGGATGATAGTTGCAGCAACTAGTTAGGGTTAGGTTTGACATGCTGATTGAGAATGACGGGATGATAGTTGCAACAACTAGTTAGGGTTAGGTTTGACATGCTGATTGAGAATGACGGGATGATAGTTGCAGCAACTAGTTAGGGTAAGGTTTGACATGCTGACTGAAAATGACGGGATGATAGTTGCAGCAACTAGTTAGGGTTAGGTTTGACATGCTGATTGAGAATGACGGGATGATAGTTGCAGCAACTAGTTAGGGTTAAGTTTGACATGCTGATTGAGAATGACGGGATGATAGTTGCAGCAACTAGTTAGGGTTAGGTTTGACATGCTGATTGAGAATGACGAAACTGTCCAGCGCATGACTTGCGGTTCTCAATGTGCACCTGGTGAACCCACGTCTAGTCTGTAAGATTTAATCCTTTGAGGTTTGCTATATATTCGTCTTGTAACTGAAATACTCTCGATCCCATGCTCATGTCTAACGCTATTGAACGTGTGTCAGGTGGTGTAACGCGTGTTCGATTTATAATTGAGAAATTTCGAGTTTCTGAAAAGTATAGTTGATTGTTTTTATTCTCAAGGTTAACTAACCACTACCATCTTGATAGCTTAACTGATATTCCCATCTGGTTAACTTCAACCGTGGTATTTCCCATCTGGTTAACTTCAACCGTGGTATTTCCCATCTTGTTAACTTCAACCGTGGTATTTTCCATCTGGTTAACTTCAACCGTGGTATTTTCCATCTGGTTAACTTCAACCGTGGTATTTTCCATCTGGTTAACTTATAACCGTGGTATTTTCCATCTGGTTAACTTCAACCGTGGTATTTCCATCTGGTTAACTTATAACCGTGGTATTTCCATCTGGTTAACTTATAACCGTGGTATTTCCATCTGGTTAACTTATAACCGTGGTATTTCCATCTGG